GAGCACTTATTTGTTCGTTGTTGGGAGAGGAGGGAAGTGGTCGTATGTGCCTTTGAGAGAAAACTGCCGCGTTGGGAAAAAATTTCTCCCTGTTGTTGACTCTTCGCGGCTTTTCCCGTTTAACATTGCTTTTTGGGTGCAATGAAACCGAACGAGCAGCAAAGCTGAATCCTCAGTTATTTGTCTCTGTGCCATGTTCATCGCTACAATTGTACTCTGACGAAAGGGTTATCCATGTAAAACAGAAAGCGCTCGTTGCCGTACACGGCCCTACTTAATGAGCGCCTCTGGCTGGCCATTTGGTAGACGGCTGTTCGATCTGGATGCTGCTTTTCTACATTATTTTTCTCTCTTTCCACCCAAACACTTCATTCGTGGATGGGTGAGATACGCGAAGAGCGTTGGCTGCGACTGTTGCCTTTGAAATAGGTTGTTCTTGAGTAAATCGGCGACCAGGGAAGTCCGCCAACTTACGACCTGGGTAGATGATGGAGTCTATAAGGTTATCTACAAATATAGATACCGAACTGCAACCTGCATTTCACAAGCAACTTATGAGCAGGTAAAGTTTGTAATGGTGCAGTAGGGTGGAGGCTTGGTGGTGAGCTGAAGCATAAGCGAGGAATCGCATACGTCGAATCGAGTCGTCGAACGTCGAACCTTACCACTGAACCACCACGACTCGATTCGACGTATGCGATTCCTCGCTTATGCTTCACAGCTCACCACCAAGCCTCCACCCTACTGCACCATTACAAACTTTACCTGCTCATAAGTTGCTTGTGAAATGCAGGTTGCAGTTTTGCTATCTATATTTGTAAATAACCTTATAGACTATCGATCTACCCAGGTCTCCATTCAAAGTTCCATGGCGAGTTGGCGGACTTCCCTGGTGAGCCTTAGTTATTCGAGTAAATTGAGGTGTAGTTTGCATCGGTCAGATTCACGGGGTTCATCGCAGATTATCAAAGTGAGCTAAGGATTGTTTACTTTTGGGGAAATCTTGCAAAAGAACATTGAGGCTTTCCATTTTATCGAATTGACTGCAAATACAAAGTTAACGACGAAGTCCTGCTGTTAGTCAATACCTTTTTGAGATGCGGCGCAGAATCCTAGTGACTTATTAAGTACGATGTGGCCTGTGGTAAACTTGTGGGGCCAGCCGATGCATACGTTGTTGTTTTTTATCTTCCAAACGACATTGGCAACAGTTTACCGTATCGCGCAGAAGAGTTGATTGGCCTGGCGGGAGCCAGCCCGGAATCAGACCCCGGACCACAGGGATGGTAAACCGCTTACCATTGCACAACCTTTACCTCAGCTGATTACTGATAGTTTTAAAAATATTGTCAATTTTAGCATATTCAACAGCGTTTGGTTACTCAAATGAAACGAGCAGCTTCTCAACAAGAAGAGGACAGTAGGAGATTTGCGAAAATGAAACGGGTTGCTAAGAAAAGTGATAAGCAGGTATGCTATAGTTTGAAAGGATCTTCTGAGGGCAAAGAACCGTTCTCGTCTTCAGCATGCGTGTATTCGTTGTGCATTTCGTTGCGACACCTCAGTGGCATTCTCGAGACATTTGGAAATGCATACGCAAAATGCGGTTTTCAAGTGCCGGTATGTGGATTTTATAGTTGTCATGCTCAGTGCTTTAGCAGATGTGATGGTATTTCAATAAGTCAAATATTATGTTTAAGAATATGTGATTATTCCGCAAATACGAAGAATATCGTTGATTTCCACGAGCAAAATCATCATCTGGATCAGTCATTAACACAGCTCCGCAGGAACGCCATTTTAGCACCAGATTTTGTTCGAGTAAGTCATTCCATAGTTTACAGTGGTGATCCATGCAAATGATTGGGGCGTTTAATGCGGCGCGGTTGGGGGAGCGGCCAGGGCGGTTTTGTTCCAACAGTAATGTCATACTGAGTTCTCTCAGTTGGTGGAAAACCTGCTCTGACTGAGCTCCAAGCTGGGTACAGCATCGTGACGTGTGAAGTGGTGGTGTAGGTACGACCTCCCCCCCTCGTCCCCACCACCTACCCGTCAATTTCCCACATCTTTTTCACCCGAAAATTCTGCGTCGAGCGGAAGGGGGGGGGTATATATATAGTACACATGAAATAGGGAAAAATCACGAAAAATCAACTACAGGGAATTTTTTCTCGTTGCAGCATTTCTCTTAAAACCACATACGATCCCGCCCTCTCCCCAACAATGGCCAAATACGATCCCCCTGTGCAGCGGATAAGTGCGACCCCCCTATGTGTTTCACACAACGATGCTGTACCGTGGCTCCAAGCCACGCCGCCGTCCTGCGCCCTGTCGTTTTCGGGGATCACGACTGTATGTCTTCAGAACTACAACCGTACCATTAGATTACCGAATATGGACCTTAAACGATTGTTCAGCTGGACGTTTCCGCAACGGATGACGAACGAGCTCGGCTAGCTGGTCAAGGAGCTACGATGCAAGAGGTGTTCGTTCCATACCTTACAAGTGTCAGTACTCGCTAAGCACTGGGAACAAAGTCATTGTGAAACGAAAGCGGATCGAGATTTTGCCGCTGACCTTCGAATGGATTTGGTGCCAGCTAGCAGTATTCTCACAACCGCCTGATACTTATCACCACCATTTGGATGGAATCTGTTCGTGATAACTACAGATGTCCCTTACAGAGCAAAAATTACAAGGTGTTAAACAAGTAAGAGTAATTCAGAGCTCACATCAAGACATTCTAATCAATCTGACGGCGTCCGCCATCAACTTTCGGGTATCCAATAATCTTTTGTTCCATTTGGCTGTTTTTTGTTACTTACTATCATGTTAATGTCCTTGGTTATGCTGTCCGTTTTTTTTGTATTGATTGATAGAAATATTTGAAAATTTGTTCTGTGCAAATTTTGTGCATTCTTATGAACTCCACACCCCGGAGATGGGAAGGGCAAGGCTGCGTACTTCATTTAAGCATGGCGGCGATTGCGCTTCCGTTGGGATAATTCCGTTGCAACTGTAATCATGTGCTTGTCGAGTACAAGGCAGGCAGATCACTTCTCAAATAGGAATACCCCACGGAGATGCATCTCGCGCCGTGCTCAGGATGAAGTACGCGGCCACGCCTCCCCATCTACGGGGTGTGCATATGTGTTTACTGGCGGTGATCTAAATCAAGACGATGTTGCACAATGCTGTCTGTTCTAGGTTGAATAGCGCTATATCACCTTGGTCACGCGTTCTTTTTCTAGTTCTCCTTTTGTGAGTTCCGATTTTGGCTGCTCTGAGATTTTTTGGAAGCTCGATGTACCAAGCCTTTGACCGGCAATGCCTCCATTGGAAGTTCGTTGGCGTTTGCTTAATAAGTGGCTACTAGGTGTCCTTTGAAAACATAGGTATCGCTTTCAAGTAGAGGAAAAGCGGCAAAGCTGCTCATCAACTTGAACTTCGTTCCCAAGTTTTCAAAGAGCTGCCAACAGCCGCTCGCCGAGTTTGACCAGAAGCAGAAAGGTACGCTCCATATCCCGGAGATGAGTAGGGTGTGACTGGGTACTTTATTTGAACGCACCAGCTACAGCGCTTTTTCTGGGGTATATCACCTTTGTTCCATTTTGGGACATTTAATCCTGTCTTTGTCCAGCACAAGTCAAAGTGGCAGATCAAACGGGAATGCTCCACGAAAGACGCACTTATTCCGCGTTCTCATGAAGTGTAACAGCCCCGCCCTTTCCAATCTGCGTGATATGAGGTTCGTGCCAAAAATTACAGTAGTATTCGTGAGGCTACAATAGGCTCAACTGGCTTTTGTCCAGAAATGTGTTCTGCAATCGATAGCCATGTTTTGTACGTATTTTTGAAGCGCGTGTATGTATTCGTTCTGGGTATATGTTATGTCAGAGTGTTCGTTCTCCACATCGTTCATCATTTTGTGAGGATGAGATATCTAGTCTTTCGCGAAATGTAGTGCGTGTAGTTTTTTGAATTGTCTTTCAGATATGTAATTGTGTTTGTGACATCTTCTCCATACCGCCCTCGTCGTCTCTCTCAGATCTTTGCATACGTGATTTTTCTTTCTCAACATAGTTAAGAGTGAATTTTCTCCTCATTCGCTCAGTCGGGTTCTAAAAAACGATTGTTTTGTCTTCGTATTGCTTATCAATTCATTAACGCGCTAAATATCTAAGTGATAAGTTTACATCTGGTTTATTAAGTACTCTATAACGACGTCGAATAGGCTCTCAAAAATGTGGTAAAATAACGTGTTATGCGTTCTGAATAAATAGTTGAAGATTATCGTGGCCCATCGCAGCAATAACAAGTACAGTACTTAAGCCAGTGGGCATGATGTTTTGATTCATTGAAGAAAACGGGAGCAGAGGCCTTGAATAGTACGACAGTAGAGCGAAAAACGGACGAAAGGCTTGAAACACTTGAAGTGGGGGCCCGTACTAACCAAAGAATGAGCGCTCTAATGAGGAATAGTACGAGCGCAGGACCTGATTGCGTGGAATGGTGTCGAGAGGGAACGTGGAAGACCCAGTGCAGAGGTCCAAATACAGAAGAACGAAAAAATGTGGTCGAGGGAGAGTCCCACAGTGTTCTCCTGCACGAGGGAAACGGGTGTATGATGTCAAGCGTTGAATATTCATAGAGAGGCTGGAACGAGCTGTCGAGCTTCCCGGCAAGAAGGCCATTTCTGCTGCAAGTTCTGGCACAGTCACGCCCGAAAAATTGTGGATAGTTAAAAGGATACACGTTTGTGTGCCTTCTTGTAGAAGCACGATTGCAGAACCGATTCCGATGACCGAAGCAGCAATGTTCTCCGCCTAGTACGTCGTTCGCGGCTGTGAATACGCTGGCCCTAGGCGAAATAAGGGTATAAATTCTGCGTTATGGCTCGTAAGCGGCTCTATCCAAAATACAAATGTCACTGTCGATGGGTACTGTCCATTCCTCGACAACCAGACCGACCAGTGGGTGGCACCACACAACTACAAGAGGGCCATCATTGCCCATCACAATGCCACAGCCCAAGTGGCCGCATTATTGAGCATTGCTCCGACAGAAAAGTTCTAAGACCTGTGTTCAGTTGCGTTATTCGCCCCACCTGCAGCCGCACCACTTCAATTGTTCTAGTCAACATAAGGTACTGACCAGTGGCAAACGCTACGACGGTTTGTCGATCGCTGAAACTGGCATCAACAGCGTTCCACACGTTTCGGCTGAAAAAGAGAGGCGGTAAGTGTCCATACGTTTCTTAGGCACTGGGAATGGGTCGCTCATGAAAGCGGAATCTATTCAATAAAAACAGTATTACTTTTTATCTGTCTTCTCCTTCTGTTTGAATAAAACCTACGTTTTTGAATGAGATGACGTAATATATCTAAGGATAAGAGATGTTACTGAAGCACCTATCAAAAGATTCACTGGTAGATTATCGTGACAATCCAAAACAGATCGTAATGGATCGCTTAGCACTTACGAGGAAGGTCGTTGCTTGCCCCGCTTTTTCAAAATGTTTTTTTTTTGCATTTTGCAGGGGCTTGCGCATATACCACAGAAGTGGGGTTCATTTTCGCTGAGGGTTCTCAGGAACGCCAAAAAAGGAGTGAAAAGTACGTCTATGTACCCTCATATAAGGGACGTTCAGCGCTATACTGGCGTCAGATTGCGTCTGCGCCGAAAATAAGTGTCAAAACGTAATCAGGACTATCATCACCCCCTATAGACGAACTTTCAGCCAAAAAATTTTTGTTTCGATTTTTCCAGGTTGTGGTAGACCATTTGGTCGGCAATGGTGATCGGAGTCACATCTTCTTAAAAATGATGACCTGGCGATGCCTAGCAGGCCGCCAGGCAGGACAGAAGTATCGCAAGGGTGCGCCCAAGGTCCTCGGGCCACGCTTGGCATGAGTGTACGTGGTGGCGGCATCCGTGGAAAAGCATCTTGGGTCTTTGCCAATCCCTTCCGCCTGCTCATTCACTAAAGATTTCCTTCAGCAAGAGAACAAAAATTGTACTCATTCAGGTTCCACAGTTTTTTTGGAGTCAACCTGGATGGATACTTACTTTTCCTTCCTTTCTGCATGGATTTCGTCGATATGTAGTGATTGTAGTATCACTGAGTACTGCAGCCGGTGTAGTGTAGTTGTATCCTATACGCTGCCACGCGGGTCTTCGGAACGTTTATTGCTACTGCTTTGCGGTAGACCCAACAAAAGGTGAAGTCAACCTTACCGCGGCAGTCTTTTATACTGCCGCGATGATAATAAACAAGCAAAGTAAACAAGACAGTTCATTTTCACAGTATCACGTGCTGGAAATGGTTATAGAGTCTTCTCTATACTCCCCCGCCACAGGAAGTTCTTGACATTCTTGTCGTCAATCGCTTGATCTTCTTCTTCTTCTTCTTGTGATTTTGGAACGGATAATGCAACATTTTCAGTTCTTCGTCCTCTTGTGGTTGTGATGAGTTGCAAAGTGGTCTGCAGACTTTCTTTTTCCCAAGTATCTGGTTCATGTGCATTGGTGTATTCTTCTTCTATCATAGTTCTTTCAACGGTACGCGTCAGGGTAACTCTGTGGTTTTCTCAGGTACTGTGCTTGTTGAGGATCTTGAATCTGACGGTTCACTTTTCTTCGCACAAGAGAAAAGTTGTATCCATTATCTGATGTTATGCTAGCTGGAATTCCACGGCGAGCAAAGAATCGGCGTAGTGCCATTAGTAAGTGGGGGGTACTCATGTCTGGCACCTGTTCCAGGTGAATCAGACGTGTCGTTGCGCACGTCAGAATTATTCCGTAGGCTTTCGCGGCTTCTTCGTTTCTTCTGATCGACAGCGGTCCGAAGTAGTCTATTCCAAGTGTGTTCGAATGGTCGTGATCTGCGCACTCGCTGCCTCAGAGAGACTGCCATTTTCTGCGTATCGAACCGAGAATTTTCATCTTCTGGCAGTGTACACACGAGTTATTGAACGAACCATCTGTCTGCGTTTCGGGATCCAAAAATGTTGTCTCACATTTGCTATGGTGTGTGAAATACCGCAGTGCAAAGGTGAGTGTGCATTTAATACGATTAATCGAGCGAGGTCGGTCTTACTGGCAATGATGTAGGGATGTTTTGCGCTTGGAGATAGGTTAGCATTTCCCAATCGTCCTTTGCATCGAAGGATTCCTTGTTCGTCTTCTCTGATTTTCAGTTGTTTCAAAGATATTTGTCTTTCTGTAGGGAAATGAACCTTTGGTGGTTCCGAATAAGAACTCTCAGAGCTGTCTTCATTTCTGTAGCAGTTATGTGTGTCGATGACTCTGCGCATTGCAGATCAGGAATGCTGTTCTCTATTTTCTTTCTGAGATTGTCGTTCACTTGAGTAAGTAATCGTTTCAGGAAACGTAAGACATATGCTAGCACTCTTTGACTTTTTTGAAGGTCATTGTGTCTCTTCCAATCCAGTAGTTCGGATACTGCATGAGTTGTTCCAGCACTCAGTATGCGAGCATTTCGCATCCTCATCGTTTGACC